TGGGGAAAGTAAAACTTCGTCAAGCCAAGTAACACTGGGCCATCTTGTACTTTATTCCCTGCTGTTTATCTAAAGCACATTTCTTACATTCAATAGATTTCTACTTCTGGCAGTTTATAACTCCATGAGTTTAAGAGCCTTTGACTAATTAAGAGCAGAGAGATTTTCACAGCCCCACTGGAAGAATAATTTCCAAGTGTTTTGCTCTTTGGGGGCATATGAGGCCAAAATTACAAACAAATAAGTGCCCATGTACATACCTACATCTATCTAAATATATATATATATATGCACACAGATTATATCTATGTCCATATCCATATTTGTTAAAAACAAATGCCTTAGAGGCGAACACCTTTGGAGGGAAGAACGTAGGTACTGTAACACAGTCTTCTGGGTGGGTCTCTGGTTGGGTTATATGTTATTTGTACATTAATCGTGGAAGAAATTTAAGAGGTTTGATCCTACAGGTGAAGAACTGTGTGTGATTGTGTGAGTGCATGTGCACGCATGCAGAAAGCAACTGTGAGGGATGCCTGTGCTTGAACCGATCAGACAAGTTTTATTAGTTCTGTCCATCAATGCTGGTTTGAAATATGGCAGGCTGAACCTATTAAGGTAGCTCAAAAATGTCTTTCCAAAATGGCTTTTGGGCTCTAGTTCCCACACTTATTTACTTCCTTGATTCACTTCAAAATCTGCTCCCCTCAGCATTTGCTGCTCTTGTTCACATAGATGCATCGAAAAATGGATTGTTACCCAGCAGTTTTCTGTAACAAAAGAAGAGGTTTGGTCCAGATCCAGAGAAAGACATACAGTAAAGAATCACAACTGAGGAAATGACTGTATCAAATTGCATGTGAACAGTGAGAAGGTAGAATGCATATGAAAGACAGCTGAGTTAAACAGTGTATAAACGGAGAGGCAATTCAGTTGAAACTCACAACTGCATTACCTTTCTGGTGTTGGATGGAGCCTGACTCTGCAATAAATCCTGTACACCAAAGCTCAAGATTTAGGAAAACATAAGAGTTCTTAACTGTTTGGCAGCATGATCCAGTGCCTCTCACATCCCTGTGAACCTGACTGCCAACTGTCACAGGGCTCGGGGCAGCACTGAGACCCCTCGGGCTTTTAATTCCATGTATAGATGTTTGTAATGCCACAAGGGAAGATCCTGGTCTGAGCCAGCAAATGTATCCTGAGCACAAGTGACGCAAAATGAAAGCAGTCAGGGAAAGAAGGATTTGTCGATGGAAGTTAACAAAACACCTTTCATTTTAGTGAAGGTTGAAAAACAACCTTCTTGGGACGAAAGAATTTACAAATGCCTTATTATGCTGTTGCTAAGATCACACCTCTAGCATCATGCACCAAGATCATGCTCTTAGCTTCAGAAGCCAAACTCCAAAGGAAGACTGCAGCATTAAAGGAGTGGGAATGAATTTAGCCAGTTTCATCTAGAGAAATGCTTAATGGCAGGATGATCATCTTAAGGGTCATTTAATACCAGGAAAAGGAAATGACACATAACACAAGTAGTAACACAAAGAACAATGAATTCAATTTAATAAAGGGCAAATTCAAATTGGAAATGAGGCTAAACTTTTAGATGGTTGAGGGCAGGCAGAAAGGGAAATCGTTTGCTTAATGAGGTAGTTATGACAAACTAGGTAGAAATATTCTGTTTTCTGAAATCAGTGAGTGTGGAGTTCAATTTTCCCTGCCTGATACAGTGGGTTCATCTGGGGAGTCTGGTGGTGTTTTGTCAGCCTTGTCCATCATGACCGTTAGTTGCATTAATAATCTGTAATTTAATGAAGGCACTACAGTATCAGCAGTATATGTTGAGAATCCTTGCTTCTCTAATGTGAAGAAAGAAAATGGATTTTTTGTGGCTTCACAAGATGAAATAAAAAGTTAAGTGTGCTGTGGTTGTCTGAGGTGAGATTTTTGTGAGACCACATGGAGATTTACAGCTTCGCAGCTTCTGTGTCTGGTCAGAACTGTGTTATGGGAAGGCTGGGGGGGATTTTTCTGGGGGTTTGAGTGAGACTTGGGTGCTTTACTCTTTACTGTGTTGTGAAGGCAGCTGGACACTCCAGAGGTACCTGTTGAAAATCCTACTCTTGTATGTCATTCTTACCATTTCCTCGAAGTGGAGCTGACCCGATGGCTGTTGGTAACGCCACGGTTCATCTTAATTCACCACCTACAGGGTTTGCTGCTCCAAGTGGGCTCTTAGTCTCCTGCCTGCTCACAGCACTGTGAAAACAGCCTTGTATCTCTGTTGCCAGGAAGACTTTATGAAAAAAACAACCAATGCATACTACCTGAACCTCACATCTGAGTAAAAGCGGATCAAATGCATTACTAGTGCAAATTTACTGGAATTAGTGAACAGTGCAACAGCTTATACTGATACTTAAGTCAGTGATTCTAATTTGATGAAGACAAATTATTAACAAAACTGTTTATCCCTTTATGGCACAGATACTTGATAGTTCTTGCTTTATTTTAAATATATTGACAGTCACAAGTTACCTAATTAATGAGGTCTCATAGGGATCCCAGTTAATGATTGCCGACTGATGAGTTTTGCTATGTCTGAAAATTAAATGGTAGCACTGGGTGCATGGAAATGGCTCATATTGTCCAAAACAGCTGATGATTACTGTGTTTAAGTATAAGAAGTCTCATAAGAATTTGAGCTGCTCAGAATTTAATGCAATTTTTCCAGGGCCTTGATAATCATCAGGAAATGAATGTAAAACTGTGATCTCATGTCATTTGGAAAGTTAATGGAATAATCTGATGGGCAGAGCTTGCTATCTGTACACTGGAAAAGTCTTTAGGCATTGGTCTCTGTCAGCAGCAATGGAAGTGGAGAAGACAGTAGATTTTATTCCATAATTATCTGACATGAAAATGGGTGTTGTACCAGAGAGAAGTAGGGTAGTGCTGCTTTTAGTGAGGAAAATAGGTCAGCCTAAATACTAGCATTGGTTGTTACATGCTACTATGGATCTGTATGTTGGAGATCTCGTTGGAAAATTAATTTATTCCTGTAAAAACATTGCGTTATAGAAATCCTTCTTTGAGCTTTGAGATTTTCTTTGGAGAATGGAAAATTAGCAGTTTCCATCTACCAGAAGGTTTCAGATGGAAACCTGGTTTCTGGTCAAGTTTCTTTCCCTAGTGCAAACACATAAACACTTGCAGGAAGCTGTCTTTACCAGTGTGGATCAGTGTTCATCAACTGATATGTAGCACATACTGGGCTCAGCTGTGTAACTGGTTTAAGCTTTAGCCTTTGATGCTGGGGCATTGGGTTGTTCCTTAGGGTGCAGATGCCAGATGGTCTTCCCTTAGAAGGTCTCATATTTATCCCTGTGTAAAATGGGAGATGCTTTGTGGGACAAGGAAACACTCATATGTTGTTAAAGTAAGGACGTATTTCCAGTATCTCCCCTCTTTTAAGTAGGCGTCAGTCACATTTTTTTGGTTAAATACCATAGACTAAATCCTGTCTCTGCTCTGGGTCTGAAGGTGAGCAGAGCAGTTCATCACCAAGGGAAAACAAGGCTTTCGTTATAACTACTTCTCTTCATTTTATCTCTAGCTTCGCAGTGTCTGGCAGATTCTCCATCCTTTATGCCATTCCTCTTCAGCTCACTAACAGAGTCGTCACTAGCTTTGCATATAAGGGCAGGCTCAGGGATTTCATTACTTCTCTGAAGTTTCATTCTCTCTTTCTTGGGTTTTCTTTGAAATTTATTTTGTTTATCGGTGCAAAAGGATGAGTTCTGCTCTGAGCCTGATCTTCACTTTGTTCTTAGCACTTGTAATGACTGTGGGACTGCACTGACCTGAAGTGGTGCTGTAACGGTGCTGGCATGTGTATCTCATTTTTATAAGTTTACTTAAACTGTTTAGAACAACCTGAGGAGATTTATAATTGCTTGTTTTGTAATACAGCCACAAAGAATTAAGTAAGGGCTGTATAAGTAATCTCTTTTCCTCTAGCCAAAGAAACACTGTCATGTTTTCATATATCTACTTATTTAGGGTCAGAATTTGACTTCTCTCTGCATTTGATAAGCATATGTAAGTGCTGCATCTAGGTAGTTCACAGAGGGATTTAGCACTTTGATTTTTAAATGCAGTGGAGAGAAGAGTGTAGTTTGATTAGAATGGAGCCCATGCAATGATGGGAGGTACATTTTCAGCAAAAATTGCTGTGAGAAGAGGCGATGACTTAGGAAACCATTGCAATTAAAATTGTGACTGAGTTGATACAGGAGATGGAAAACTGCTCGCTTTTGATATTTGCTAGCTAGGAAAAAACTTGGATAATAAGTGTTTTCTGGGAACAGAGATATGGAGGAAAGATGGCTTATGTTTAAGACACTACATGGGACTCAGAAAATTGACTTCAGTAACTTTCCTGACTGCCTCACAGGATGCCTCTGTAGTCTTGGGGATGATTACAAAGTTTTCACCATATGTTTATGCTGTATGTAGTGATCTGGAGCCCTCATTTTAGTTGGGCTTCATGAAATTCTAGCCTACCAACTAATATTTACTCACTTGTGTATACCAGAAAGTAAAAACAAATGGTCTTTGGAAAAATTAAACTGGGTCACATTTACACTGAATAGGGATTCTGTGTCCTGGTCAGTGGTAGATGAAAAGTAGGGCCTTCAGAGATGATGACTATATCAGACTCAATGCTCAGACCAAGCATGGGACCATTTAAATTTTTTCAAAAAATTAGGAGGAAGGAGGAGCGTGAAGGGGAGGTGATGCTTACCATGAAGGCTATGAGCTATTTTCCCAAGATCTTTGTCACATAACTCAGGAAAGAGGAAGGACCTGACATAAGTAGAGAGAGCCTGCCTTAAAGAGGACTTTATAACATCATTTTTGTATCAGCCAAATGCAGACACACTTCTTTTTTAATGAAGGAAAAAATGCCTTTTTTTCTTTTTTTTGAATAGATAAATCATCCACAAACAAGCTTATGAGAAAAATAGAAGAAAGAAGGCCAAAGAGGCATGCCAGAGAAGGAAGTTTGCAGAGTCCAAAGGATTCAGAGAAGACTGCAGTGGGACTGCCTCTGAGAGGGAGTGTTTACATCACCAATTCCTGACGGGTTTACCTTCTGGGACTCCAACCTTGGACTGCTGCCGGGACATTTGTCTTGGGCTTGTCCTCTGGGCTGGTGAGTTAGTGATGGAATGACACACATCTCTGTTGTGCTGGAACATGATATTTTCAGATTGCTCAGTGTGAGAGGTTTTGGTCTCTGATCATTCTGTCTCCCGCTCCAGTGATGAGAGGATATGTCAAGTAGTTAAAGCACAAATCTTAGAGCTGGAAGACTTGGCCACTGTTTCTGAGGCTGCCACAGCCTATTTGTGATTTTGTACAAGGCAAAGAATGACAGGCATTAGATGTAGCATTTTCCAGTGGCCCAGGGCTCTCTTAACTCTCGTCATTGGACTCAATGGGACATTCTCCCTTAAATTTGTTGGGAACAAGGAGCTTATATTTCAGACTGTATGTGAAGTAGGTAGGTTTCTCTAATCATTTGGATATGAAAAGTGTGTGCCTGCTGCAGTGCAAGGAATTGCTGCAACTTTTCAGATGCTGAAAGCACAGTTAACTGAAAAGGTAGGTCACTGCTGCAGGCCCTGGTCATCCCACTTCAAGTCCGAAATAGCCTTGGGGTGTTTCACCTAACTTCATTGTTACACAAATACCTGCTGCTTCATAATCACTCAGTATGGGTAGATGTGATGTGTAGGCAGGGCAACGGTGAGTGGAAATTGATTAGTGTAGTCATAGAATATATCCCAGACTAAGTAAACAGCATTTTCTGCTGCAGCATTACAAGAAGATACTATTTATAGTTTGTGCTCATTTTGTGCTGTCTGCAACTAGGAAAAGTTTCCACTTTGGAAAGGTTGTAGTTTCTGTTCAGAAAACAGAAAGGCATTTTTAAGCTCCTTATTGAAAAATAATCTTTTATTTTGACAGAAATATAAAATGTTTCTCTCTGATTTTGTAGAATGATGGACCCAGCACAGAGTTTTTCAGAATAACTAATCTTGTCCCATACTGCTGATTCGTTTCCCTTTGGGCTGTCTAGCAAAGAGATGTGGGTCCAGAAAATCATATTCCAGGGGAGTGGCAATATTGTTCCTGCAGACAGCTCCCAGGCTGGAAGTCCTCTGGAAGACAGGAGACCTGAAGGAATCTACAGGAAGCAATCAAGTGATACCATTAACAGAGATCAGTCTGCAGAGGGGTGTTCAGTAAACTCCAGAAATCTCAGAAACACTGTTCCTTTGCAGATTGGTATACTGAGCATAGATTTGGTCATCTGACAAGGGAGAAGGGAATCTTGTGGCCTAATCCTGCTGCTGGACAAAAATACACATCCAGGGGGAGGGAATAAGTGCCACAGTCCCTAGAGAAAGAAGGAATAGTCATGTGCTCCTTATGCTCTGGAGGCTTGCTCAGTCAAGTCCCTCCTGTGCCCTGGGCAGTGTCGAGGCAGAGAAATCTTACCTCACTGAGAACTGTTTGACTGTTTATCAGGGATCCTAGAAGCCCTGTGAGTTTGATCGTAAAATCTGCTTGGACTTGCAGTACTTTCTTTGTGGCAGGGCTGCTGCAAGCGTGGGGTTGCCGGCCTGGAGGCCCTGAGTGCTATAAAAGCACCAGCATTGTTTCTCTGGTGTCCTGCAGCATGAGCTGGCAGGGAGCAGTGCAGGGTGCTGACAGAGACCAGCAAGACAAACTTGGTCCCCTCACATATCTTTTTTTGATAGACCTGGCAAATCCAGAAGACTGAAGTGGTGACAAATCAAGCTTTCATGTCAGAAGAGAGTTTTCTTGGAAATTTCTTGGGTAGATCTACTGATTGCACCCTGGGTCTGGCTTAGAAACAGTGCAAAAGGTGATCTTGGCTCAGTGGGTTTTACTTCTTTGATCTTCCCTGTCCAGAACAGTGCACAGCAGCTGTGCTCTTTGGAGGAAAAATAGGCATTTTCTTTGACTAAAGATGTTTGCAGTCGTTTCCTGTTTCCCCTTAAATTCTTTTCATAGTCATGTTTTTAATGCTAATGAGAACCATAACTAGATGTTTAAAAGATCCTTTGTCCCTGAAAACATCTCCTGGAATAGCCAAAGACAAAAAAAAAAACCAAACTCTAATGAACTAAAGCTCCCTCTGAATTTTTGTCTCCTCCAATCACCTAAATTAATCAGTGCTAAAGAAAGGTGTGCAGCTTGATGCAGCCCTCCAGGGCACTGTGGCTGGCTCCATAACTTATGTTACCTTGTCTAGGTATCCAGATGTGCTGTGGTGTGGGATTATGCTCTGTCCTCGGGTGCCTGCCACACTTATACTGTGTAATCAGACTGAATTCAGGATGAATGTTGACTACAACAGAAAATTATTTCCAAGCAGCTGTAAGTCTAGTTTAAGCCTTTTAGGATCAAATTTTCATCTTCGATATAAATCCACGGAAGGGAAGAGTTTATCTTTCACAGCTCTTGAAAGTAGAATCTAGAGCTGAGGGTTGTCTTCAAGCAGTTGTCTTCAAGCAGAGCTATCCCTGGCCCTCCTTCCATGACCTTCCATGCTTTTGATGACAGCCTTAAATTAATGGTCATAGCTGTGTGTGGAACAGGCAGGAACGAAAAGAGTTCCTAACTCCAGGGTGTTCTTGCAAGCAATGAGGACTAGTGTTTGGGAGGCACCAGCCCATAAGTGGGAGGCACCAGCCCCGCTTCCCCAGCTGTGCCACTGGCTTGCCATAAAATCCTTCGCAAATCACTCACCTCTGGAGGTTCAGTTTTGCTTTTGTACAGCGGGAACAATGGTTCCTTTCAGCTCTGCCTCCACAGTGGTGATTGCACGGGGCTAACAAGCAGTAATGCAGCCTTCAGGGACCGCCGGCGCTGGAGCTGCTCTAGCAAGTGTTTTGTACTGGGAGAAGAATGGATCCTTAAAATATTTAATCAACAGTCTCTGGGTATATATCCCTCCACTTCTGGATTAAATGCTCTTAGTGATTTAGGGCTTTATTATGTTCTTCTCTCTTTTGTTTATCTCATTCTCATCAACAGGAGCTTCACTTTAGACCATGATAAAGCACTTCAGCCATGCTTTTACTGGCTGTGGTTGTTAGGAAATCTTATACATGCTTCTTTTTTTTTTTTTTTTTTTTTTTAAATAATGACCCCATTCTCACTTTCTGAACTATGTTGACTTTTTTAAAGGGAAGCAATAATGAATTTCCATATGAGCTATACCTTGTAAAAAGATTATCTCCATTTGCTCTTTTTAGAAAGTTTTCAGAAGGGAAGGCACTGTCCCAATGCACAGAAGCAATTTTTCTTTTCGATGGATCCTGTGACTCAAATCTAAACCTTTGCTCTCAGAGGAACACTTTTCAAATGTTTACTTACTGCTTGATTCCTGATAGGCAGTCTGGAAAAAAAAGCAGATGAGGTGTTACTCTTGAAAGTTATACTGCTTTATATTGTTTGAAAGGCAGAGATTGAACTGATTTGTCTAGCAGCTTGCCTTGTCTCAGCAGGGGGAAAGAGTTCCTTTGTAGCTCAGACTTTTATCAACAGTCCAGTAAAAGTGTTTTATATATATACATAAAAAACTCATACAACATATAAAGCCTTTTATCCCAGTGACTCTAAAGTAGTTGACAAATTTGTCAAATAATTTGTCAACTACTTTCCTCACAAATTATCTCTTACACCAGAAGGATATCATGGAGGTATTTCTATGTTAGCTGAAATTATTCTTCCTATTAATAGCTTTTAAAGTAACAATCACACTTGTTATTACAAAAATTACAAAATTTTAATCTAAGAATGTTGGAAACTTTCCCCTAGTCCTCTTAGGGGATTTAATTAAACATGAAGCCACCTTCTTGTACTACTGAGGTCAGGGAGGAACTGATGCACAAGGTGTCCTAGGCAGGAGAGAAACAACACTGCATGTGTGGGTAACTGGGGGGAAAAAAATATAAATAATCATACGATGTTCTGACAGTCACTTGGTGGAAAATTCCTGTTCTGCAGCACAGCTGGTGTCGTATTGTCGTGTATGGACACAGATTGTTGTGTATGGGCAAAAAATGCGTGATGAGGATGCCTGGTCCTCTCTGATGCCTCTGTACCCATCCTAGGCTTGGAGAGGAGCCTCTGTGCCAAGGATGAGTTGTCTTCCAGGGTCTTGTGAAGTTCCTCGCAGCAATTTGCCCTTTACCTTACTGGTGACACCATGACCTTCCACAGCCACTATTTCCATATCAGCCTTATATATGAGCAGCGTTTGCCTCTTCTGGAAGGGTTTGGGATACACATCCCACATCCGTACACACTCTGCATCTGTTAGGCTTCACCAGAGGATCCTCTTGGCTCCTGAACCGTTCCCTTGTGCAAGTCATGAGCAAAACCCGTTGCAAGGTGACCGAGGGTTTCGTGATGGGATCCACGGCATGAGCGTGTTAATGGACTCAAGTGCTATTTATTGGCTCCAGGGTGTTCCACTGCGCCCTTGGCGCGTTCGCGCTTCCTGTATGAAACTTGGCTGCAGGAGTCAGAACTGCAAGACATCATCCCAAATTCCAGCTGGGATGCGTAACTTGGCTACATGACACTCTCCCCTCCTTGCCCCCCTTAACTACTTCCCATGTTAAATAGTTTCTCAGGACTCAAAAGGGAAGGGGGAAATAATCTCCAGGCCAGTGATTCTGATAAGTAGAAAGATTGCATAAATAAATTAGCAATGATTAATAGTAAGAAAATGTCACTTGTCTCACTTGCCTGGAAGTTGTAACTTGCTGAAATGACAGTCTTGATGTTGGGGGGTTGGGATGCAGAGATTGAATGATGGGGTTAGGGATTTATTTTATATATATTTTCAAACTGAAAAAAAAAGTGTGATTTATTTTCTTTTGCTGCAGCCTGCTCCAAATTTTCAGTTTTACATTAATAGCTGTGGGAACAGCAGTTCTTACTGCCATATACTTTAGCTATTAGCACTGTGTCTGGTTTGACAGTACATCTCTTAATTTATTTTTTTTATTCCCTTGCGATCATAAAATATGTATCAGCCTGCCTTTTTAATCTCCTTTGGCATGTCCAGCTAGTTAATTTGTGTCTTTCCTTCTTTTGAATTTGATTTTTCTAACAACATATACTTAATCAGAAAAAACAAACCAACTGGCTATTAAAATTTCTTAAAAAAAAAAAAAATTGAAATTTGATTGAATTCATATTTAATGGCATGATTTCTCCAGGAGCCCCTAACAGCTTTCTACCCCAAATGTTTGCTTCGACTGATATTTTAATTGCTGTAATAATCAGCATTCTGAATACAAGGTCTTTCCCCTAGCTCAGTAAATCCATACTGGCTGAGTAAAGCATGTCTGTGATTTATGTGCAGATAAACAGCTTTGGATCCTGTCCAATCACTTCATCAGTTTTAATTCGGCTGCCTAATCAGTAGCAAACAGGAGGGTTGTTTTTTGTTGGTTTTTTTGCTTTGTTTTGCTTTTAACAGGGTGTGTGTGGGGGTTGTTAATAGAGGGTTTGGCATGTTCCCCAGAATGGCACAGATAGCTCCCCATTTCACATCATCTTCATGTCAAAGTCAGCCCTGACTTTCTGAGAGAGTTTATAAGAAGGGGATGAGATGCCAAGCCCTGCCTTTGGGCTTTCATTGGTATCTAAGGAACCAGGCAGATATGCAGTCTGAACAGCGAGCCTGCTCTTATCTCATGGTTTACAAAGGACATCCCTCAGATGCCTGAGAAAAGTGGAAGGGCTCATACAGAAGCAGATTTTGTTTACTGTGTGTGTTTAGGGGTTGATGCCTTCAAAATCATTTCCACAGCATTCAAGTTACTGCTGTTGCTGTTTCTTAATAGGCAAAACGACTTTGAAGGGGTCTGGGAGGCGGAGGTGACCAGTGCCTGTGGGGTGCAGCTGTGCAGGGGTAGGACAGTGCAGCTCACTCTCACCTTTGCACCTTCAGCCTGTCACTTGCTGTTACCTGTCAGCTCTGTGCTCAGTACTGTAAAAGCCAGGGGCATCCAGATGACTCCAGACTGAGGCTCTTCTAGCTTAAGGCTCATGACCCCAGCTCCTGACCTCATTTTTGTCTACAATAACCCAAGCAAATTCCTGTTAAGGTTAAAACATTGGACCTTTTACATTATCATCTATTAGTGCCATGTGTCCAGAGGTGAAGCATTCTCTGATTTATAAGCAGCCTCTGAAGGATTACAGAGAGCAACCCCATTTTGGTCATCAGATCTAGGGCAAGCAATACCATCTGTAATAACAAAGCTTACCTAAAGAGCTTAGTGTGGTTTGAGTAGTAAACCGTGGCTGTGTGTCTCTGAACCTTGTCAGAAATCCTGGCTGCCCTTAATTTCAGCGTGTAACTGTGCCTGGCCACTTCCTTTATGCTGGGAAACTGCAAGAGGTATTAGTAGCTGTTCTTCTGTATCTGTTTATTCTTGTTTCATAGCAGCACTTGCTATGCTGGCAGGCAGCAGGCCTGGGAAAGCTGTGCTAGGCTGGGTGGCCACCACTGGACTGTTTAGGAGGTAGGTTAATTGGGAAAAAGACAGTGACATTTCTACTGTATCTTCTTAGGGATTTACATCATAACCCAGATGACACCTGCCACCTTTTTTTCCATGTCAGGTTAAACCCTCCCAGCTCTGTGCTTTACTCTTACCAAGAATCTTAACCAGAGCTGCTAAATTCAAACTTTTTGGCTCAGCCTTAAATCCTTGCACACACCCATAGCTGTAGGGGCTTTAAATAGGCTTCTGAATCATCATGAAATTCAGAGAATTAGGCTTGGCTGGAGGGAAGGGCAGTGGATTGGGTTTGTGGCATTTTGGGATCAGTTCGCAGGCAGATGTGGGTGTCCAAAGGGACCTTGGGCGAGGTGTTTAATCCATCTGCCGTGTTGGGGTTTTTATAGCTTGCAAAAGGGCAATAACACCTCCCTGTCTTAGACTGGCAATGAAGAGAGGACAAAATCCATTAATGAAGAGAAGACCTTTAGACCCTGTGGTGGTTCTGGTACAGCTCCACCTCAGCTACAGCACTCACTGGGCTTTTTATCTGCAGTCTGTGGAAGATTCTTTGAAAATGGCTGTGACCATTTTTATACTCCTCTTGTGCATGGTCAGAGGAAGGCAACGTGGCTTGTCCAGAGCTGGGCAGCAGTCAGTGACAAGAGGGCAATCATGGCCCTGCCAGCAGGTCCCACTTAGCAGAGCTCAGCCAGCAGCTCTGGAGATGGAAGCAGAGCCTTGGGGAGAGCACAGATGCCACTTTCTCCTGCTCTGCAGAGTATATGAACCAGCTATTGCACTAGTCCCCTGGACTCCTTGCCTCAGGATGGGCAGTTTTGCATTCCCATTTCGGAATTCTCTGCTTTTGGCTAAGACAGCTGGGATTTGGAGGTGTGTGTGGAGAGGGCAGTTTGGCCATTATGCTGTGTTACTTATATTATCCTGCTTCTTTTTAATGGAAGACAGCAGTGTGGAGGGATTACCAGGCTTGGGATTCTCCTGGCTTTGACTGACCAGTCTGTAGGTTTGGTTCTCTTAACCTCAACAGGAGCTCTGAGCATTCCTGTTAAAATTATTGTGAAATGAACTTCCAGAGTCCTGAAAGGTGAAGACTACTCCATCTGTCCATCTGCTGCTTTAATGGAGAGGTGGGAAAGGTTTCATTCTCTGGCCAAAAGGGAGCTCTTATGTTTAGAGAGGCAGTGTGTAGACCAAAATCCTTCTGGTGATGAAACCTAGAGTTTGTGCTGACCAGTGGCTTACATTTTATGAAAGATTACCTTCCAGTTCTGGAGGTTTGAGCTAACAGATGCATCTTGTTTTCTTACAAGCTGGTGTGCTGGTCTCTGAGCTGCCTCCTGGGATATCATTGAAGAAGCATTTCCACTGTTACCATTTTAAAGAGCAAAGGTCAGCTGGTAGTGAAGGCTGAGTCCTTCTCGTGGGTGCTCTTTGGTTGTCCCACCTTCAGGATTCAGCCCTGTCAGAAGAGCTGCAGAAATTTTCACATCTTCATCCCTTTCCTAGGATTTCTTCCATGAGGAAAGACTGATAGGAGAAGGAAGGAAGGATATGTGAGAGTCCATATGCGAGTTACTCTTAGCGCGTTGAAAGAGGGGACTGTGAGAGCATTTTCAGGGTTATGGAAATGTGATGAATGAGGCTTCTTGAAGAAAACAATTGCTTCAGTCCTCTCACTGAGCTGTGTGACTGGTTCCTCTGTTTCTGCAGTTTGGTTTTTTTCAGATGGTGCTACATTTATTATGACTTTTTTTTTTTCTTCTTCAATTTCCCCTTTTCTATCTTTTTCCCTTTTCCCCTTTTCCTTTTCCTTATTCATGCTATATAGAAGCCATTGTTCAAAGAAGAATTACCAGGGTGGTAAGAGGTCTGCCTATGGCTGAAGTCTGATGGCCTGTCCCTGAGTGCAGGACCTTAAGATACAGAAGTCCTCTGGCATTATATAGGGTTTTGACACACAGGGTACCAGTTTCTCTGAATATAAAAAAAAATAAAGTTTTGTCTTTTTAGTATCTCTATTCCTTTCCTATGATGTAGAGTTAACAGCATGTGCTCCTTCTCAGGAGCACAGTGAGGAAAAGCCCATCTGGTTTGTGAATGCTCAGACATTGCTCTAATGGAAGCCATGTAAATAACTAGATAAATTATTTCAGTGGGATTGTCTGTCGAGCATAATAGGTAGCAGGGTCAGAATCTCTTAGCAATGATTCATTTCTTTCTGGCTGAGTGGGATTTGTGCTCACAAGCCATTGTAGAGAAGCAGCCTCTGATTTTTGCTGTCTCTCTCTTTTCCCTGCCTACACTTTGGGCTCCTTGCTCTGTCGCTGGTTGGCTCCAGGGAGCAGAGACTGCCATGGTCAGTGTCTGCACCATGCTAAGTGCAAAGAGTTCAGGCACAGGGTAGACTCTGTGGTGCTGCCATAACACAAAACTGAAGGATAAATTATTAAAAAAATGATCTAGAATTTTTTATAATTTGTCATAATTTTTGCCTCTTTCATGAGGTTGTGGTAAAATCGTGGGTTTTAATTGTGGGATAAGGCATAAGGGTGAAAATAATGAAAATAACCTTTCAGATGTGGGTTACTTGAGCAAATTTGTTCATTTCAAAGAGAGGGGATATAGGCTTACAGCTGGTGTGCCAGCTCTCTGCCCTGCCAGGCTTGCTATGAGAGCAGGGGCAAATTGTGTAGGATGTGTTTACATGTCTTCATCTGGCTGCAGCTCCTGGATTGACTTGAACAGTTTCAACAGGTCTTCACTAACCTGAGTGCATCAGTCAGTAGTTCTGCTGTCAGAATGGAAAGTGCAGTGTACTCAGGCAGGGGTGAATGATGAGGCAGGGTGATGGGTGGCAGGGATGGGAATGTCCCCAAACAAAGCACTGCAGTGAGCAATAAGATGTGTGCTCACAGCCCACATTTCTCACTGGTGAAAATCTCCCACTTGGAAACTGGGACAAGAGTGGTTCCTTGTCTCTTCCATGAGGATGAAGCATTCAGGATTCTGAAAAGTTCAGGCAGGGCTGCACAATTTCTGAGTTAGATTGACTGTGTTAAAATATTTATTGTTTCTACAAACATTTGCTGCTAGCATATATATAGACTAGGGGTTTTTCAGAAAGCAAATGATTGCAGCTGAAGCAAGTTTGGAAGCAACCTTCAGATGAGCATTAAGGAAAATTTTCACAGTGCTTTGTGGTTAAACTTGAAGAATATTTTCATTACATTGTGTCTCCAAATAATGTCAAAATTCTTTCCCATCAGATATAAGACGTAGTTAGAAATATCCACTAAAGACTTGTTTTCTGATGTTTCCACAGGTCACTAAGGATTTTCCCTGGAGCGTGACTTCGAATATGACACTTCAGTAATGCAGAAGCTGTAAGTAAATAACACCATTTTTGCAACTCTTCTTTAAGATCTGTGTTTACACTCCTTCCAGAGCTTTGCTAGCACTCATCTTTGCTAGACTTTATCTACCATGCAACAAGCTTACAAGGAAGTGACTGGAAGGTGACTTGGTTTTAAAGTGAATCATGCCATTTTAGGCGCTTTGCTTTATTAGCCTCTTGTTTAATTTAAGAATTCCAATAACGATTTCTTAATCTGCAGGAAAAAGCTCAAGACATCTGTCAGTATTGCAGGCAATGCCACAAGCAGACAAAAATAAAAATACCTCATTAGCGTAGATTATCAGTGAATAAAATGCAATGATACATTACCAAAATCTGGCATGCAAATCAGCACAGAATAAAGGCCAAGAACCTTACTTTGCTTCTGGTATCAGTAATTAAAAAGGCTTACTAGAAGCTGAACAAATGAACTCAAGGGGCTGTTGACCTGATCATGTATTTGATGGCCTTTGGTAGCTTGATGTCAGAGTTCAGTGTCTGAGGAATCTTATCACAAAGGTAAGCCATTGTGCAGTTCCTGGTTGTCAATGCTTGAAAAAGGTACAGTTTCCTTCTCTTCCTCAACTTTTTTTCCCATCTTTTTCTAAGGTGAATTAGTAAACTGCTAATTTTGGTATCTCTTTTCTGAATTCTGCATTGTTTCCTAATGAATTCTCTCAGATCTGCTCAGTCTCCATTTAATTCAGTCAGCTACTCAACATCCAAACCTTTTGTAATAAAGAGAGTGCTAATTTTTCCATTTATTTCAATTGCCTTTCATCAGGTGTTATCATATAACTCAATCATTCAGTATTGGAATCTGTAATTTAATCAATAAAGGAGGCCATTTTTCTCAAGGAGATCAAAAGAGAAAGAGCTCAAGGAAAATGCACAGCGAAAGGAAGGTGAAGAACAAAAAAGACAGGAACTGTAGTTTGCACTTAATAGCTGCCCACCCTGATGCCACTATTTTAGAATTAATAGATCTAATTATTTCATCTGTGCACTCATCTTGCAAAAGCTAGAGGGAGAATCACGGATGTTACTCAGGCTGTGACAAGCACTTTGTAGGGGTGTTGGCAACCCTGTACGTGAGCAGTACTGTTCACACAAGCAGTTTGATATCAAGAGAGACACCAACAGAAGAAACTGTGCTGTGTGAGGTCCTCTCCATCCTTTCTGTTCACATGACTTTTATTGCATTGCTGTTGTTTTAGACAAGCACAAGGGTGGCGTCAGCCCTGCCTTGATGTGATCACTGAGGGGCTCAAGGTTTTGAGCACAGGGATCTCCCTGCCCTCAGTAAAACGAGTCTGTGGCCTGTGAATCTGCTCTGTCCCTGCCTCTGGGTTTGCTTCCACTGCTCCTGCTGCCCCAAAGGAGGGGATGGTGCTGTGCTCTCTGGGCAGGATGAGGGGATGGCTATTCATTGCTGGCACTGAGACCTCTCTTGGTTTCCTGCCTGGGCCCATCTGAGACTTACTGAGTCTGGAAGAGCATCTCTAGTTCTGCTGGAGGTGTGAATTTTGCCCCAGGGATGAGGTTTATTTTGCATTCAGCCTCTGGAAGTCAACATGCCTTTTTCATGCTGCCAAGCAGCTTTGGGCAAGGCCTGGGGGGGAGATTAAATGCCCCAGTGGAGAAGCACTTGTGCTGGGTCACAGCTGGGAGTCTTTCCTTGGCTCCTTGGCTTCTCAGTGAGATTGCCTGGACAGGTCTCAAACATCAGGTCTCTGAAGAGTGAGCCATGGTTTTGCTGATAAATTGCTTATAAGTATCATGGTCTCAACTTGGCAAGGTCTGTAAAACTCAAGATGAAAGGTATCAAAACTATTCATTCAGAAAATGGTAATATTAAAATTACAGTAAATTGTTTGGTGTCTAAGGGATACCAAAATGCTGCTTTGCTTATGTCTCTCCCAAAGCCTGGTTGCTAGTGCCATAGCCACATTTTCTGCAAATCAAATGTTGAGCCAGCCATTGGAACACGCATCTGGTGGGATTTTTAGAACATGTTTTTTAGTTGAAACAGGCACATTAGTAAAGAAAGGCTTAATAATACAACATTTTGGAGAATTTTTAATATGGGGGGTGTGGCATTTGTCTTGAAGATTTTAGTGCTCCCCTTGAATACTACTCCAGGTTGAATAAACAGTTATTTAGAGAGTCATCAGGTACTTATTTTCAACCTGCATTGACAGACTTTTCCTGTGGTAAGTACATAATTTCGTAGAACAATCAACTGATGAACTCTACAGCAAATAATCTTTAAAAAACCCCCTAAAACAACACCCTAAGCACTCTGTAGCAAAAGCTGTCACGTAATTGCGATAGAGACTTACCTCAGGGTTTATTAAGTGTTGAGCTTCATGAATTGAAGAATGCCTGGACAAGTGTTGCACTGGAATTGACTGCCCAGGGAGGTGGTGGAGTCACCATCCTTGGAGGTGTTCAAGAAACCACGGGACATGCTACTCAGTGCCGGGTTCTAGTTGACAAGTTGGAGATCAGTCAGAGGTTGGACTGGATGACCTTAGAGGTCTTTTCCAACCTAAATGATTCTGTGATTCTATGTGATTCTGTAATTGAAATGTCTTGGTCCTAAATTCTCAGCAATTCTGCCCTCCTGCAGCCCTCTTGAATTCAAGTCCTTCTCCTGCTTTGCACAGCCATAGCAGAAATTTTTGGACAAGGAACATGTAAAGTGTGCCAATCAGACAGCTACAAAATCTACAGAACTGCAACTGGCTGACAAATCACTCCCCCTGCCCTTGGATAATGCCATAGAAGCCTTTTTTTGTATGAGCAATATTGTAAATATTGTTCATCTTTTTCTCATAAACCTATGTTTAAGTCTATTTCCAGCCTTTCAACAGTGCCAAAGGATTACCAAACATGCACCATATGATTGCTTATGATCCTGATTCCTTCTGGTGCACTCCAAATAATGTCATCAAAGCCAGTGCCATTCTGCCTGTTGCATTTGGCCAAATATGAGAGCAGAATTTCTCCCTCTGAGTAACTTAATGTGCTGTATTTGAAGACTGACTTTCAAAACAATGATATTTTCACTGGCCAAAGCAATCAGTGTTGTGCCTGTCCAGGCAGCCTAGGGAACCCAGCTGTAAGAAGTGAAAAGCTTTCTGATGAGGACTGTGGTTGAAGATGTTTCTTGGGGTTGATTTAGCACTCAAGAGCACAGTGTTTGTGGAACTGGAGCATCTGCCGAAGCAAGCAATGGCACATGCAGACTGCCCCTCTGTCCTTCCCACATTAATGACTTACTTTTTTCACCTAAAAAGAGAAAATATGTAGTTAGAGTTTAGTCCTGCTGTACAGTGGTACTTTGCACAAAATCTTGCAGGTGTATAGTATGTCCAAAAATATTTACATATATGTTCATTAGTATTTCTCCACTAATATCCCTTGCTTTTAATTTGCTAAAACATTTTGAAGCACTTGGGTTTTTTTTCTGTCCTTCTCTCTTCACCAAATCACCCATTCTAGTGATTCAATGCAGATCAGGAATTTGGTGTGTGGGGGGAGAACATTGTAGCCACTTTTAGCTCATCTCTTCAAGGTTGTTGGGTTTTGCTTCCACAGATTTTGAATTCAACAGGCTGCAGAAGGACTGGGTGTCATTTAGCTATTAAAGATTTTTGTTTTCCTGCTCATTGTGAAGTAGCATCATTAACACAGGGAAATTACCATGCTTCACTGTTCTGTGTCCATGGTACATTAGAGGCCCTTTTCCATTGGTAAAGCTGAGTCTATTCTTCTGTAAAATCAGGGTCCCATTGGCAGTTCTTTGGCAAGTGAGACAGAGGGACTATTTAATGAGAAGAAGAGTGGTCTAATAAAGGGGAAGAAGTCGAACATGACAAGTGCAAGGAAAGACAGCAGAATGTTGGTTTATAAATCACTCCATAACTGGTCCAAAATATTAATCCATATTCAGAAGGCCAGAGAGAAAGAGGACTGCAGTTTTGGGGTAAATGAGCAACACGATTTTTACAAAGTGCATTTTAGAAAAGTCAAACGGTCTATCCATTTCTCTTCCCTATACCAAGTGCTGTGTTTTCAGGCTAATGGAAACTGGTTTGTACTGCTTAATTTTCTCCTTTGAAATGGCATATTGGCTTTTGGTGGAGAAACTGGACTTTTGCTTGAATATGTCTGGATTTTACAAATAGCTTTTTAGTTTAATAAGATGAAACCAATTAACCAGAAAAGTCATTGCCAATGGATTTTACAAGTACATAAAAATATATTGCTTTTTCTTGAAACATTTCATCACCCTTTTAAATGTTCTTTTTTCTTTCCTTTGCCACCAGCGACAAGGAACTGTGATGAATTTGTGCCCTCATACCTTTTCCTGAAAACATTGATCTTTGGCCCTGATTGTGTATGTGTGTGTGTGGGGGGAGGTTGTAGACATGTGCATATGCATCTATTTATTTCTGTTGTTTATTTCTTGCCACAGTGTTCAGTGTGTTTAACTTGTGGCCTGAGGTAAAACAGAGCACACAAGCTATAAAAAGTTGTTCTTAAAAAGGTTACTTAAAGTGGCACAGGACCCAAGGGCTAATGAGCAATCTCTCAAAGCCAGATGTTAATGCAACTGCTGAAGCATTTGGCACAGCAGAGACACTGAAGAAGGCAGTAGCACCTGGTTGTTACCCCACTGCATCCCTGGGAGAGGACATGTCTTCTGGAAACTCTTCTTCCCTCATTATGCCAGCTTTACCTTGCAGCTGAGGGTGGGGACAGAGAGCTACGGTCCTACAGTATCATGAAGCTCTGTGGAAATGAGTTCTGGCCTCTGCCTGCCTGTCTCTGAACACTACTGCTCACTTAATCACCTATAGCAATATTTTACTTGGAGGGAATTCTAACATGAGGCCCCGCCAGCCTCCTCTACCCCTAAATTTCCATCAACTCCCTGCCTGCAAGAGGGCTGGGGAACATGCAAGGCATGGGCGCATGCTG